CACTGTATATTCTTTTATATTATCTTTTTTGTTGTTGTTAGTTTAGATCTAAAAGGTTTTTAAACATACCTTGATATTCTGAGTAATTCATTAGATAAGTACTCAAGTGTTACAGTGATTTACAGACTACCTGCTGTGTTCCAGACACTGTGTTGGACTTTTAATGTATATAATTGTATTAAACTCCCTTACCCAGAAAATCTGAAATAGATATAATTCTCCCAGATTGAGGAAGCAGAGTGATGTTGGTTCAAACTCAGGGCTCTGGTTTCCCCATGTGGGCTTAATTTATTCCCTTTTTCAATTTTATTTGATATTTGGGACAAATAAAGGTAGACTCTCCCCTTGCTTCCCACTGATGTCTGCACTTAAGTAAACATAATATTGTGTTAGTATACTGTGCCCATAATAAAATTTCTATAACTGAGATAATAAATTCCATGGTCAGAAGTGTACTAAGCAGAGGTGGAGGTTATGGAGGGATAGGAATGAACAATTCTAACAGTACTGATCAAAATTACATAAAACATGACAGAAAACATTTTATGTATATGTCACAGGCTTGGGACAAAGAATGTAAAGATACTGGGTTTAAGTTATAGAGTGAAGCAGCTTTAGTATTCCATGCCAGCAAAGGAGTAACACAGCTTTCAAATGGCACCAGATTCATGATAATGCCAATATCATACAACTAATTTTAAAAATTTTTTCTAAAGAAACAACCAAACTCAAAAGCAGAAGTAACTATGTATTTCATGTTTGCCACACTGCAGAGTTTTTTTTTTTAAGAAAAATGCATATATATTCTTAAATATATGTTCACAAATAAATATCTTCTTGTAGCATACAGTAAATGCTGTTCTAGTTAACCATGAAAGATAAGGGAATACAATAGAAGAATAGAAGACTTATACTAAACTGATGTTGATGAGAGGAATTTAAATATAAGATCCTAAAATATGGGTGAAGGATTGAGGTAGAATGGTGCAGAAGTAAAAGTGCTTTGACTATAGAGTCAGTGAGACTCAATATTTGGACAAGTTACCTGTTCAAGCTTCATATTCTTTGTCTAGAAGATGGGATGAATGCCAGTGTCTACCCAAGTGGGCTGCTGTGAGAATTAAATGAGAAAATGAATTCATGTCTAGCTCTTAGTAAGAAATCCATCAAAGCCTGTAACTGGTAGTGGTGGTGTTCATGGTAATGTTTTGATCATGGTACTACTACCTCCAGAAACATGAAGATTATATGTTTTCAAAGAAGTCTGCATGTCTGGAAGCATCATAAAGTAGATTTCCATATCTGTGGAGTTTTAACTCCATTTTATTTGAAACCAGCCACTTTAGCCCAGACTGAGATTTGAGGATAACAGTCATTTGGGTTGGCTATAGGGTTTCATCAGCATGCATTTCCACTGTAAGAAATAGTGAATTTACTTTAAAATTATATCATGTGTTCTGATTCCATTTTGGTAAGCAGAGAAATCTATAAATGCTTCCCTGCTTAGAGAACTGATTTGTTTCTGTTGAATTCTAAGTGTCAGATTATAAACAACTTCAGTCAATATCTACTGATCCCTTAAAATGGAATCAATAAAATTGCCTGTAACAAGCACATACTACTAGGAATCAAAATAATCTTTCCCCCAAATAAAATCATGTTTACTATGTTACATGATTCCTGGAACATGTTTTAAAGTAAGGGAATTAGGAAGCAGGGACAATTATTTTTGGATTCTGTTATGCTTAGTCATTAAAACAAAACAAAAAACAAAGCACTCAGTTTTGCAGAATGAGCAAGTAGATCTACATTTTCTTTGTTTAATAGGCCTCTTGGCATTCTATATCAGAGTAGTTCAGAAATTCAGTTAATTTGATTTCAGTACTCAAAATTCTCATTCTTTTCAGAATTTAGCTGAACTCTTTTTTTAAACAAAATGGTTTTAAGTGAATGTGTTACAAGAAATATTTTGTAATAGGAATATTTCTGAATCTTGTGTAAGAAATTAGCTTCAACTTCACCAATAATATCTTTCCCTGTGATTATATTCCTGTATGAATCCAAACTAAATATCACATTGAGAGGAGAAACACATTAAGGACTTTCATCATTACATCAAGCCACAGTGGTATGATGGAGAAAACTCATAGTTAGAATTGTGACTTAACTACTCAGAGCAAGGTTATTAACATTTTTGGGTCTCCTGCACCCCATCTGTAAAGTCCTACTTACTTCAAAGGCCATTTATTGTGAGGCTTAAATGAGATAATCCCCGTTAAATGCCAGCAAGGACTAAATGACACTTCTTATCTCTTTGGTATTTTTATTGAAAATCCTGCCAGCAAATTGAGGTTTCTTCTGTTTTATCCTGTCTATAATAAGTAGTAGTTGGCATTGAAGGGTATAGAGAAGAAATCTATATCTGTACTACAGCTATTACAATAGCAAAGTTCTATACTACCACAACAAAATCCTACTAAATTAGAATAATTAGGGCTATTTGTTTTTGGCTGTTAATTCTTGGAGTTTAGAATGTTTTATGAGAATTGGAATTTAAAGTGTTAGAAAGTATAGTAGTGCATAGAAACTGTAGAAGATGTCATGTACTACTTTCTGCTTTAATGAATGTTTAGCTTTGATTACTGATTATTGTATGTTAATATAATTCACAAATTATTTTGGAATAGAGCTGTTTCCTTACCTCCTTATCATTTTTACCTTCAATATCTCACTACAGCTATTTAAAAAAAGATCTTAATTCCAGCTGATTCCAACTAATGAATTACTAGAATCTGAGTTAAAGAAATTTTAATTATTATTTGTTTTATAATTTGAAATCATTGTTTCAAAATGAAAGTTGTATTTTAGCTATGATTATTTTTTTAGCCAGGGACCCAAATTATTTTCTCTTTTCTTCCTTGCCAGAATATGTTAGTGTCCTGGGACCATCTATAACAAATGTCTAGAACATGTCTCTTTTTCTATTTTTCTTTCCTTTTCACTTTCATGTTCACTTTTTTTTCCTTTTCACTTTCATGTTCACTTTTTCTTTTCATCTTTAAATGGTGTATTTACTTCTGATCTTTTTAAATTTTTTTTATTGGTTGTTCAAAACATTACAAAGCTCTTGACATATCATATTTCATACATTAGATTCAAGTGGGTTATGAACTCCCATTTTTACCCCAAATACAGATTGTAGAATCACATCGGTTACACATCCACATTTTTACATAATGCCATATTAGTAACTGTTGTATTCTGCTACCTTTCCTATCCTCTACTATCCCCCCTCTCCTCCCCTCCCATGTTCTCTCTCTACCCCATCTACTGTAATTCATTTCTCTCCTTGTTTTTTTTCCCATTCCCCTCACAACCTCTTATATGTAATTTTGCATAACCATGAGGGTCTCCTTCCATTTCCATGCAATTTCCCTTTTCTCTCCCTTTTCCTCCCACCTCATATCTCTGTTTAATGTTAATCTTTTCCTCCTGCTCTTCCTCCCTGCTCTGTTCTTAGTTGCTCTCATTATATCAAAGAAGACATTTGGCATTTGTTTTTTAGGGATTGGCTAGCTTCACTTAGCATAATCTGCTCTAATGCCATCCATTTCCCTGCAAATTCCATGATTTTGTCATTTTTTAGTGCAGAGTAATACTCCATTGTGTATAAATGCCACATTTTTTTTTATCCATTCATCTATTGAAGGGCATCTGGGTTGGTTCCACAGTCTAGCTATTGTGAATTGTGCTGCTATGAACATCGATGTAGCAGTATCCTTGTAGTACGCTCTTTTAAGGTCTTCAGGGAATAGTCCAAGAAGGGCAATAGCTGGGTCAAATGGTGGTTCCATTCCCAGCTTTCCCAGGAATCTCCATACTGCTTTCCAAATTGGCAGCATGCAATGGAGGAAGGATAGCATCTTCAACAAATGGTGCTGGGAAAACTGGAAATCCATATGCAACAAAATGAAACTGAATCCCCTTCTCTCGCCATGCACAAAAGTTAACTCAAAATGGAACAAGGAGCTTGATATCAAATCAGAGACTCTGCGTCTGATAGAAGAAAAAGTTGGCTCCGATCTACGTATTGTGGGGTTGGGCTCCAAATTCCTTAATAGGACACCCATAGCACAAGATTTAATAACAAGAATCAACAAATGGGACTTACTTAAACTAAAAAGTTTTTCTCAGCAAGAGAAACAATAAGAGAGGTAAATAGGGAGCCTACATCATGGGAACAAATTTTTACTCCTCACACTTGAGATAGAGCCCTAATATCCAGAGTATACAAAGAACTCAAAAAATTAAACAATAAGATAACAAATAATCCAATCAACAAATGGGCCAAGGACCTGAACACACACTTCTCAGAGGAGGACATACAATCAATCAACAAGTACATGAAAAAATGCTCACCATCTCTAGCAGTCAGAGAAATGCTAATCAAAACCACCCTAAGATACCATCTCACTCCAGTAAGATTGGCAGCCATTATGAAGTCAAACAACAACAAGTGCTGGCGAGGATGTGGGGAAAAGGGTACTCTTGTACATTGCTGGTGGGACTGCAAATTGGTGCGGCCAATTTGGAAAGCAGTACTTCTGATCTTATCTTCTTAAACAGTGATCTTGTGAAGACAGTAGTATCTATAGAGACAGAAAAATAAATTAACAGGGATCTAAGAATTTCTCCCTTTTAAGTTTTTTTTGAGCCTGAAATAATTTCAACATTTCTCTGAATTAGGAAATTTCTAAATGTTGTTATTTATATTAATATTTTTAAAGGAACAATTAGATCACTTAAAGAATTTTCCTCTGGCTAATTAATGTGTAAGGACTAGAATTCAGGAAGTAAAAATTGGAATAATTGATAAAAAGCTGTGGTCTTTACTCTTTAAGCATATTCTGGCCAGTTTTAAATTATATAAAGACATAAAATTTTTCAGCAATTCTTTAGTTTCTAATTTATTTTTAATTATTGTTTCATTTTTCTTTCAGAACTCTTGATGTTTCAGTGAGCTTTAATGGAGGAAAATCTATCATTTCAAGCACACTAATAGTCACAGCCACAGAATGTGTAAGTAAAAAGCTATTTTTTTTAAGTACTCTTATCTAGAAATAATTTATGGAGCCTGAGCATTGTTGCACACTACAAGAAAGAAGGCACAGACAAGAACATTGGAAGACCATGAAATTGACATAAAATTTATTTTAGGTTGTTTAAAATTTCTGTTTGATTCCCTTTTAAGGGAATTTTAAGAGAGTATACATTTGATTTTGATATTTATAAAATTCAAAAGTCATTTAAAATTAAGATAAGAGAATAAAAAATGAAGAATTTTTTTCTTACAATATTAAAAGGAAATTGACAGTTTTTCTGTTTGAGGTTAGAATTTAGTAGGTGTTTATATATTTTAAAATCCTTAGTGTACTTAATGGGTGACTTTATTATTATTATTATTATTATTTTAGTTGTCAATGGACCTTTATTTAATTTATTTATTTATAAGTGGTGCTGAGAATCAAACCCAATACCTCACATATAGCAGGCAAGCACTCTACCACTGAGCCACAATCCCAGCCTGACTTCGTTATTTTATCCATCTTAAAAGTTAGTGTTTTCTAATATGGTAGCTTGATAATATCTTAGTTTGAAATTATCATTGAGATTATGAATTTATGTTGAAATGCAAACATAATAGTTAATTTTGTGCATTTATAGAAAGATTTGATATTATATTGTTGAACATGAAAATAGGAAGCTCTAAATTAGACTGACTCCCTGGCTATTATTTTTACTTTGTAAAATATATAAATCAAATCCAAGGTCTAAATGTTCTGATATGTAGATGCTAACCCACAGCAAAGGAGGGTGGGGAGGGGAAGAATAGAAGTTCACTGGATTATACAAAGGGGAGTGAAGGGAAAGGAGGGGGGATGGGAATAGGAAAAACAGTACAATGAATAGGTCATAACTCTCCTTTATTCATATATGAATACATGACCAGTGTAACTCCACATTATATACAACCACAAGAATGGGATCCTAATTGGAATGGGTTATACTCCATGTATATATAATATGTCAAAATATACTCTACTGTTATGTACATCTCATTTTTATATAGTAATTCAGGAGATATCCTTCCTCAGGAACACAGTAAAACAATTGAATGCTATCTGTGTAGAGGTGGTTGTGCTTCTCATTGTACAACAGCATTTCAGGAAAAAACTATCATGTAGTTGGAAACTTGGGCCACTTTGGAACTCCCTGGATGTCTTTGTTGACATTTTTTTTTCTGTTTTGAAAATATTAGATTTGTTTAAAGTTGTTTCCCCCCTTCATCTGTAATGTGTTTTGCAATTTGTAAGTTTTGTGGATGTTGCAATTTTTAGGTTTTCTGGCTTCTCAGGATGTGGTTGGTTGAGGTTACAAATATTTGTACTGTGTAGTTTCTCAGTGCTTAGCTTCAGAAATGGCATTCTTTCTCCATCCATCTTCTTATTCTTCACCTCCAGCTATTTTAGGGAAATGGGTTTATGCTCCTGCTTTATAACCGGGTACTAGTTCCATGTGCAGGGATGCTGAGGCTGAATGACTCATTGAAATTTATTGGTTGATGATAAGAAAGGTGTATCCAGGTCTTGCTAGGTCTCAGGAGGGTATTATGACATGAGGTAGTTTTTGTTTCAGAAGAAGGAAGCTTGGTTGTGTCAGAGATAGGGAGAAGGTGAAGGGTCAAGTTGCCATATTAAATAGGGGTCAAGGTGATTCTCACTGAGAAGGTAAGATTTGAGCCAAGACTTGAGGAAGGAAAGGAAGTGAGCCCCAAAGACTATCTGATGGACAAGTGTTCCACAGACAGAGCACCTAGAACCAGGTCTCACGTGGGACAATATCTGGAAGTTTAAAAAATAGCTAGGCAATCAGTGTGGTGGAGTGGAGGTGATCGGAAGAGAGTAAGAATCTCCGGATGAGGAGAGAGAGATGGGAGGGTGCAGAGCAGGTGGGAGAATGAGTCATTATAAGGAGTTGAACTTTCTCCAGGGAAACAGGGAGGCATAATTTAATAGGATTTGAATTAACACTTTAAAAAGATCACTCTGGCTGCTGTGTGAAAATGGGCTTTACTGGTGGGGACAAAATGGAAACATTGAGCTCAACTCTGTGGCTGTTTTAGTAATCCAGGAGCTGGGAAGAGAGGTAGATGGCCCCATTGGAATGAAAACAGTGGAAGTGGGGAGAAGTAGTTGAATTTGGGATTTCTTTTCTTTTTTTTTTTTTTTTTTTGTGGTGCCAGAGATCGAACACAGGGCCTTGTGCATGTGAGGCAAGCACTTTACCAACTGAACAATATCCCCAGCTCCAAACTTGAATGTATTTTAAAGGTAGATCTCTCGGAATGCCTAGACAGGTTAGATGTGGGGTGTGAAAACAAAAAAAGACATTAAGAATAACTGCTTGCAGCCAGAAGGATGCATTGCCATCAGATAGAGGCAGTTTCTGGAAGATGAGGAGTTCCATTTTGGTACTGTTGAGTGACAGGTATGTATGAGATAGCTAAGTGTATATGTGAGAGAGGCCCCTGAATACATAAGTCACATGCTTTAGAGAAGGGTCTGGATTGGTGGTATGATCTTGGGAGTTATAGACAGTGGGTGGAATGAAATAGGCAACAACATTCCACATGATATTTATTGGGGGAAACAAGTGGCTTTCAGGAGGTTAGAGCAGGAGAAGGAAGAGTACCAGAGAAAGATTTTGGTTTTTTTTGGAGGAAGCAAGACAAACTGGTTCATAAAGGGACAGGATGTAGGTAAGAAGAGAGGTCAGGAAGCACGTTACAGAGAAAGAATAAACAGGGTATGTGTGGAAGAATTGAGAACAGAAATATTTAGTTAGAGTGGAAATAAGTGGAAGGAAAAATTGGAAATGGGAAATTTTGACTAGATCATCAGTAACTTAAAACACCACACAGAGTTTGGATGGACTCCTACAGGCCTATAGTACCCAGAATCTACTGTACAGAAATGTCAATGCTGAAATTAAAAAAAAAAAAAGATTTTTTTTTTCATAAAGCTGGATTTACTCAATGTGAAGGAATTCTTTATTCTGTAAATTTTCTTCCTCTAATTTAAAAATATCCTTTGATTCAGGTAACAACCATAGTAATTTGTCAGCATTGACTTCTCTTTCTTCTTTCCTTCCCTTTATTCTTTTTCCTTCCCTCTCTTTCTTCATTCTATCTTCTCCTTCTTTTCCTCATATTCCTCTTCCTCCTGTATATTTGGCAGAATGCTGAGCCAGTAAGACTGTATGAGAAGCTCCATTAATTTTTTTTTTAGGTTTACTGTCTTGAAAAAAATCATAAAATTTGACCTCAGTAGATAACAGTGTCTTTTTAAAAGGTTTCAGACATGAATGTGATGGCGGCATTCTATTTTGGGAAGATTCCATTAGTAGTGGCCTGCAAGAAAGTTAGAATGGAAAGAAAACAAAAAGCTTTTAGGAGACAAGTGCTGGAATTTAGGCATAAAACTTTGGGTTCTGAGTTTACTTACGGTGGTAGAAACAGTACTAGAAACAATAATAGAAGTTGTATTAATGAAGAAATACATATTATAAAGTGTCTTACGGGTTTGGAATGGAATGACTCATTTCAAAATATTGAATCTCATGGTGTAAAAGAATAATACTACCTTTGGAAACATCTAAAACCAGCTGATCTTGAGATGAAGAGAATTTTTATTGTAGGTAATGCTGATTAGAAAGGATGGCAATGTCCAATGGGTAATTGTAGATATAACCTCAAGTCTCTGAGAAGCATCAGGACTGGAGATCAGCATTTAGGTTTCACTGTTGTTGAGGATAGGAAAAGGAAGAAAGATGGGAGAATTAGAGTTAATGGAATTTTGAAATAGGAGGAATATGTACAAACACAAATTGTACTGGACAAAAGGAAGCAAACAAGGAAGACTACTGGAGGAGGGAAGAGAGATTAAATGGAACTCTGTTGAAGCCAACAGCTGGAGAATTTTTAAGAGCTCTAGTGGGGGAAATTGTGGGCTACCTCTGGGCTAATTTGTCTTACTTAAAGAAAAAATAAGTTTTCTCCTGCCTTCCTGGCAGGAGGTAGTACTGAAATGTAGAGCAAGGTGCCTACTGATGTTATAGATTCCTACCTTCTTCCTCTTCTGAGGTGGTATCTTCCTTGATGACTTTTCAAAAGAATGGCTTCCAGGTCCCAAAAAAGACATCCCTCCAGGATCTAAAACTGGCAAGAGGTTTTTTTTTTTTTTTTTTTTTTTTTTTTTTGGTACTGGGAATTTAAGTTAGGGCACTTTACCACTGAGCTCCATTCCACAGCTTCTTTTACTTTTTTATTTTGAGGCAGGGTTTCACTAAGTTGCTGAGTCCACTCTATGTTGCTGAGGCTGACCTTGAACTTGAAATTCTCCTATCTCAGCTTCCTGAGTCACTGGGATTATAGGTGTGCACCAGTGTGCCCAGCTTTCCAGAGGCTCTTAAGGAGATCCATAAGCATTTCAAACTTGCAAATACAAATTTTCTAAAATAAGATTCTTTCAGAAAAGGGAGATCCCAGGCCCACAGTCAGGAACAAATCTGATCAGATTAAACTTTAAAGATTAATCAGGCTGAGGTGACAGGTAGGTTCATCTTGGTTGGTAGAATAAATGAAGAAGTGACAGAGAAGGTACAATGCAGGACATCAAGATACGGCAAAATCAGAACGTGTATCAAATAGAGAAGAACAAGGAAGGTAGAATCCCAACATAAAGAGAAGCCAGCAGTAGGTGCCTGTGTAAGGTCACCAAGACCAGGACTGAGAAGAAGTCTGAGGGGTCACCAGAGACCTCTCTCCAGCTTCGCCTGAGGACCTAAAGCCTGCCTTTTTTTTTGGTGATTTTTATAAGTATACTAATGATTTCAGATAATAAATATTGTAATTCACTTCATCATATTAGTGATAGTTATAGAACATTTTTTTTCCTCCTTAGATTTAACCATATTTTGTATTCAGCCTCAAATACCTCTGGTATGTGGCAGTAATATTA